AGAGAGAGAGAGAGAGAGAGAGAGAGAGAGAGAGAGAGAGAGAGAGAGAGAGAGAGAGAGAGAGAGAGAGAGACAAGAGGGTGTAAAGTAGAGAGAGGCGAGCGCTTGCATCGAAAGAAATCTATGGGATTATGGCAGCCTTGTCGATAATGGGAACAGAGCAAATGGCTTTCGACGGCCAGGTAGGGTAGAGCATGGAAGCGGAAGAAGGCCATCAGGGATCGATCGCTAGCTCTCAGCACGTGAAGGGACAGTATCTGAGCTGCTGTCTTCATTGTCTCATGTCGAGATAGAGGTCGTGTCTCCATATCTTTAAGCCGTTAGCCAATTGTGTTCTCTCTGCCGATTTCCATACGTCCGTCCAATGCGTCCATCCCTTCGAGCAGAAACCAGATCGAGCGTGGAACCATCTTGAATCAACGGCGAACAACCGATCAAGGTCGGGGCTCGAGGACCAGCTTGACAGCAGGAGGAAAACCACTTCACCGAGTGCCCACTACCCTACAATTGTCCTTCTCTCTCTCTCTCTCTCTCTCTCTCTCTCTCTCTCTCTCTCTCTCTCTCTCTCTCTCTGTGTTCGAACCGACCCTCGAAGAGAGGAGGACAACGACATCCACCCCTCCAGAAGAGATTTAGGACGATGGCGAAGAAGGCCAATTCTTCCGTGTCCTACTCGGGGTCCTGCCTGTCTAGTAGCCTTGTCGTCTACTTGACGACGACGGCGGCATTGATGATGATGACGGTGATGCCAGCTATGGTGGCCGGCGCCATCCCCGAGCGGACAACACAGGACCATCTCGTTAGAGCGGTGACGTCAACATGTTCTGCGGTGGTGATGTCGGACGTGGTGTTGACGTCCAGCCTTCCGGATGTGAACACGACGGCTTGTCCGGAGGTGAAGATCGTCGGTGCGTGCGGACGGCGCCGGTGCAAGATCGACGGCGCAGACAAGTACGCCTTCATTCGATCTCCAAGCACCATTCGCCTAGAGAACCTGCATATCACAAGAATGCGATGCTCTGGAAACAACAATGCTCCTGTGGTATTTATGCCCCGCTCGCTTTACATGACCAACTGCCTTGTCTCTACCAATGTCAATCCGGACGACACAGGTGCAATCACCACAGAGGAAGGTAGTTTAGACATTCAATCTACCACCTTTGAGTACAACACAGGAGGAACTGGTGGGGGTGCTATTCGCCTAGACTCCTTTGCAACTCTCAAGGCAACCAACGTGATCTTTCGAGACAACAAAGGCGTGGAAGGAGGGGCAATCAAGAACGTGGAGAGTGACATACAGTGCGATCGATGCCAGTTTCTTAACAACGAAGCTGGCGATGGCGGTGCCGTTTACCTAAGGGATAACGGCGGAACGGAGGCGACTTTCACGAACACAGTATTCCGCGGCAACCGTGCTACAAAGGTGGGAGGACTGGGAGGTGCTGTCTTCATTGATAACATCGACCCAGGGGTTAAGTTCTGCTACAGCACGTTCGAACAGAACACACCTGAGAACGTGTACGTCGGGATAGCACCTGGCGACAATGGCCGTGTCATTTTCTGCCCAAGTACGCCAACCGCGGTGATGATCAACCCAGGATCGGAACCGTTAGTGACCGTTAATTGCGCTGTTTGTTAGTGTATACGAAAAGGAAGAATTTGTGGACGGAATCTGGTTCGAACAGCGGTCAGGTACATGGTGCAACGTTCTAGTTTCGGAACGCAACGCAATTAGAACCTCCGTCTGCTTCTCGTTTTGGAGGGTCGAAGCAACCACGCTAGACATTTCATGGATCTATCTGATGACCGTATTTGCGACCGAGTTCCGTATTTTTCATGGAACTCGATCTGTCTGATGACTGTATTTGCAAAAGAAGAACCCGCAGAGTGTGTGTGTGTGTGTGTGTGTGTGTGTGTGTGTGTGTGTGCGTGTGTGTGTGTGTGTGTGTGTGCGTGTGTGTGTGTGTGTGTGTGTGTGTGCCGATACTATTATCCTTTTTTCTTTCATTCTTTTCTTTGTTTTAGTACCTGGCCGTTTTCCCAATATTCTGAAGTTTTCCGAGCCCGGCGGAGGGTCGGCAAGCCTTTCGTTTTGGGACTTGTGGGCCTGATTGCAAAACAAAACAAAAAAAGTGAAAGAAGCAGCAGAGGGAGGAGGGATAGCTGACAACTCTGCAACTTGGGGCACAATCTCATTTGTATATATATATATATATAGTCAAATAGAACTGCCTACGGTAAACCGTAGGCAGAGAGGGAGAAGAGGACAACAAACGAGGGGCTGTGACAAACTGTTTCGTCGGAGTTTCACCGACTCATCAGGAGGCTGTTAGCGCCCGCGGGGCTGCGGCCTACGCCCCCAACCAAAAAGCGGGAAAGGACACGGCGGGTGCGGCCTACGCCCCCAACCAAAAAGGGGGAAAGGACATGCCCACCGGGACACAACACCGGGAAACAAAAAGAAAAGAAAAAACGAAACAACAAAACGACACACCCACTGACACACCCACCGGGAACCAAAATGAAAAAAAAAAACAAAAAGTGGGAAAAATAAGAAAAAAAGAAGAGGTATGACACACCGACCACGAAACAAAAAGAAGAGCAAAAACGAAAAGCGGGAAAAGACAGGCCGAAAAAGAAAATTCTAAAAGAAAAAAAGGCCGGCCGCTTATTGACAGCAGCGGCTTCAAGATATTCCTTCACATCTGCGCCCGCCGCTGCCCGCCCCCGTGGGCGCGCTGGCTCGTTTAATGGCGCGCTGTGAACATTTCGGTACGCGCGCCCTCTGCACACTCCCCCGCCCTGGATCGCCTTCATCCGCCAGCCCTCCTCAAAACTTCGACCCCAAATCCGGCGTGCTGCGGACCATCGACCTCCCCTCGGGCCCAATGCTGCTTAAGGGGTAGGATATATACACAGGGTTGCTGGCGGGATGGGCCGAACGCCCGAACGTTCGGTACCCCCTAAAAAACAAACAAAACGAATTCCAAAAAATCTAAGAAAAAATATATGCTATGCAGAAGAATAAACTAAACAACATTTTCCTCAACGTTACATCCAAATTCTTTGCCAAATTTGAAATAAAAATCAAATACTAAAAATAAATAATAATAATGAAAATTAGAAAAAATAAAACGCGAATGAAATTATTGAGTGGGTGAGCACTTTTTTGACACCGCCATCTTTGGAGATTTTTCATTCTTTTTGGCTGTGACAAATGCCATTAAAAATTATGTATGTGTATGTTGCATAATAGAGAATCTACAAATAAAGTTTTAAAAAATAATAATCATTTAGATGCCCCGAAATAAAGGAAAAACAAAAGGTGAAAAGAGAGAAAAAACAAAGAAACAAGTGCGGTAGTACCACACTTTCAAACTGTAAAGGCAAAAAAAAACACTAATGGGCAAGGAAAAAATGGCCGTAGTTCGAAAAGGCAAAGATAACAGTAATGGGCAGTAACCTCAC